TCTATATATTGTTTACAAGAGACCCACCTCACAACAAAAGACTCACATAGGTTGAAAGTGAAGGGATGGAAAAAAATCTTCCAAGCAAATGGAAAGGAAAAAAAAGCTGGGGTAGCAATACTTATATCTGATAAAATAGATTTCAAAATGAAGGCCATAACTAAAGACAAAGAAGGCCACTACATAATATTGAAAGCATCTATCCAACAGGAAGATATAACCTTGGTAAACATATATGCAGCCAATATAGGAGCACCAAAATATATTTAAAAATCTTTTGGAGGACTTCAAAGGAGAAATTGATAGCAATACAATCATAGCAGGGGACTTCAACACCCCACTGACATCACTGGATAGATCCTCTAGACAAAATATTAGCAAGGAAACAGAGACTCCAAATGAAGCACTAGACCAAATAAATTTAATAGATATCTACAGAGAATTACACCCCAAAACTACAGAATTCACATTCTTTTCAAGTGCACATGGGACATTCTCAAAGATAGACATGATAGGACACAAACTAAATCTCTACAAGTTCAAGAAGATTGAAATCAAATCAAGCATCTTCTCAGATCACAATGGCATAAAACTAGAAATCAATTGCAACAAAAACATGCAAAGACATTTGAACACATGAAGGCTAAATACCATGTTATTAAACAATGAATGGGTTACCGAGGAGATCAAGGAAGAAATTAAAAACTTCCTGGAAACTAATGAAAATGAACACACGACAACACAAAATCTATGGGATGCGGCGAAAGCAGTTCTGAGAGGGAAGTTCATAGCACTACAGGCCTACCTCAAAAAAAGAAGAAAATTTCTAATAGACTATCTAACCTCACAACTTAAAGAACTAGAAAGCAAACAAAAAGAAAAGCCCAGAGCAAGTAGAAGGAAGGAAATAGTAAAAATCAGAGCAGAAATAAATGACATAGAGACCAAAAAAACAATTCAAAGGATCAATGAAACAAAGAGCTGGTTTTTCAAAAAGATAAACTAGCTTAATGGACCCTAGCTGGACTCACCAAGAAACAGAGAGAGAGAACCCAAATACACAAAATCAGAAATGAAAGAGGAGAAGTAACAACTGACACCACAGAAATATAAAAGATCGTTGACAACTACTATGAACAATTATATGGCAACAAATTCGAATCTAAGCGAAATGGACAAATTTCTAAAAACACATAGTCTCCCAAAACTGAACCAGGAAGAGATAGAAAACTTGAACAGACCAATAACAACTAAGAAAATTGAAGAGGTAATCAAGACTCTCCCAGCAAACAAAAGCTCAGGCTCGGATGGCTTCACCATCCATGTTGGGGAGTTTTACCAAACATTCAAAAAAGAACTAACACCCATTCTCCTCAAACTATTTCAAAAAATTCAAGAAGAAGGAAGACTTCCAAACTTGTTTTATGAGGACAGCATAATTCTAATTCCAAAACCAGAAAAAGACACTACAAAGAAAGAAAACTATAGGCCAATGTCCCTGATGAACATAGATGCCAAAATACTAGTAAATAGAATCCAGCAATACCTCAAAATAATTATTCACCATGACCAAGTGGGATTCATCCCAGGGATGCAAGGCTGGTACAATATCTGCAAATCAATAAATGTGATACACCAAATAAATAAAATGAAGAATTAAAACTACATGATCATATGATCATATCAATAGAGGCTGAAAAAACATTCCACAAAATCCAACATTCATTTCTGATAAAAACGCTCAGCAATGTGGGAATAGAGGGATCATATCTCAACATAATGAAGGCCATATATGAATGACCTACAGCCAACATCATACTCAATGGGCAGAAAATAAAGCATTTCCCTTAAGAACAGGAACAAGACAGGGATGCCCACTTTTGCTACTCTTATTTAACATAGTACTGGAAGTCTTAGCCACAGCAATCAGACATGAAGAAAAAATAAAAGGAATCTAAATTGGAAAGGAGGAAGTGAAACTGTCATTATTTGCAGATGACATGATATTATACATAGAAAACGCTAAAGACTCCATCAACAGCCTACTAGACTTAATACATGAATTTGGCAAAGTAGCAGGATACAAAATTAACGTCAAGAAATTGATGGCATTCTTTTACATCAATGATGAACACACAGAAAGAGAAACTCAAAAAACAATCCCATTTATCATCGCAGCAAAAAAATTAAGATTCCTAGGAATAGCCCTGGACGGTTTGGCTCAGCAGTTGGAGCATTGGCCTGTGGACCAGAGAGTCCCGGGTTCGGTCCCCGCTAGGGGCACGTACAAAAAAAAAAAAAAAAAGATTCCTAGAAATAAACTTAACCAAAGAAGTAAAAGACTTATTTGCAGAAAACTACAGGACATTGACAAAGAAATAGAGGAAGATATAAAAAAGTGGAAGCACATACCTTGTTCATGGATTGGAAGAATTAACATCATTAAAATGTCCATAATGCCCAAAGTTATCTATAGATTCATTGCAATCCCCATCAAAATACCAATGACGTATTTCACAGAACTAGAACAAATACTTCAAAAGTTTATATGGAACCAAAAAAGACCCTGAATAGCCACAGCAATCTTGAAAAGAAGGACAAAGTAGGTGGGATCACAATACCAGATCAGGTTATACTACAAAGCTACTGTATTCAAAACAGCCTGGTACTGGCCCAAGAACAAGCAGATAGACCAGTGGAACAGAACAGAGAACCCAGATATTGACGCAAGACATTATGCTCAATTAATATTTGACAAAGGAGGCAAGAGCATACAATGAAGAAAAGACAGTCTCTTTAATAAAAGGTGTTGGGAAAATTGGACAGCTACATGCAAAAAAATGAAACTAGACCATCAACTTACACCATACACAAAAATAAACTCAAAATGGATAAAAGACTTAAATGTGACCCGTGAATCCATAAAAATTCTAGAAGAAAATGTAGACAGCAAAATTTCGGACATGATACGCAGCAGAATTTTCACTGATACATCATCTAAGGCAACAGAAACAAAGGAAAAAATAAACACATGGGACTACATCAAACTAAAAAGCTTCTGCATAGCAAAAGAAACAACCATCAAAATGGAAAGGCAACCCACCGTATGGGAGAGCATCATTGCCAATGATACATCAGATAAGGGGTTAATTGCCAAAATATATAGGGTAATCATACAACTCAACAAGAGGAAGACAAAGAACTCAATTAAAAAATGGGCAGAGGAGCTGAATGGACACCTCTCTAAACAGGACATACAAATGGACAAGAGACATATGAAGAAATGCTCAACATCATGAGAGATGCAAATTAAAACAACAATGAGGTATCACTTCACACCTGTCAGAATGGCCGCCATCAACAAATCATCAAACAACAAGTGTTGGTGAGGGTGTGGAGAAAAGGAGACCCTAGTACACTGCTGGTGGGAATGCAGACTGGTGCAGCCACTATGGAAAACAATATGGTGTTACCTCAAAACATTAAAAATGGAACTGCCATTTGACCCAGTGATCCCACTTCTAGGAATATACCCTAAGAAGCCTGAAACACCAATCAGAAAGAATATATGTACCCCCATGTTTATAGCAGCACTATTTACAATAGCTAAGATCTGGAAACAGCCCAAGTGTCCCTCAGTAGACAAATGGATAAAAAAGCAGTGGTACATATACACAATGGAGTACTATGCAGCTGTATGAAAGAAAGATCTCTTGTCCTTTGAGACGACATGGAGGGACCTGGAAAGTATTATCCTAAGTGAAACAAGCCAAGTAGAAAAAGACAAATACCACATGATGTCACTTATTTGTGGAATATAATGAACCTAACAGTCTGAGGAATAGGGTACACCCGGAGACGTGTCAGTACACACTGACAACCCTCAGAAGAGGAGGTGGTGGGGGGAGGGAAGAGATAAACCACAGAAGTTATATGCATATACATATAACCAATGGACATGGACAACAAAGCCAGGGACGGGGTTGGGTGGATGGGGAGGAGGATTTCAATCGAGTAAAAAAGGAGAAACATCTGTAACAAAAATAAAATTAAAAAAAAAAAAACAGATTGGTGGTTGCCAGAAGTGTGGGGGGGGTGGGAAAAATGGTTTAAGGAGGTCAAAAGATACAAACTTTCAGTTATGAAATAATTAAGTCAGAAGAGTTAATGTACAGAATGGTGACAATAGTTAATAATACGGTATTGCATATTTGAAAATTGCTAAAAGAGTAAATCTTAAACATTCTCAGCACAAGAAAGAAAATGTTGTAATTATGTATGGTGACGGATATTCACTAGACTTATTGGGGTGATCATTTTGCAATACATACAAATATCATGCTGTACACCTGAAACTAATATAAAGTTATATGTCAATTATACCTCAATAAAAGATTTTTAAACAATAGCCCTGGCCAGTTTGGCTCAGCGGTTAGAGCGTCGGCCTGCGGTCGGGAGAGATCCGGGTTCGGTTCCCGCTAAGGGCATGTACTTCGGTTGCAGTTTGTCCCCGGCCCTGGTTGGTCGTGCGGGTAGCAGCCACTCGATGTGTCCCTTCACATCGATGTTTCTCTCTCTCTCTCCCTTCCTCTCTCTCCCTCCCATTCTATCTGTACAAAAAATGGAAAAATACCCTCGGGTGAGGATTAAAAAAAAAAAAAAGATTTTTAAACAATAAAAAGTAATACAGTTTTGTAGTTATATAGCATCTTTCTTTTAAAATATTCCAGACAGGTGCCAGGTACTTATTAATTCTCCCCAAGATCAATATGATCAATGAAAATCATATCATCTCCTCTGAATTACATTTGACTGAGAAGGAGAATGATCCCATGAGAGGGCCCTGTCCCATAGTAACACAAAAGGATATGGCAGGACCTGGAAATTAGGTTGAATCTGTTGATTTCCCCACCCAGTGTTCTTTCTCCTACATTATTCACAGGAAATACAGACAAGATCACTTATTTATATTCCTTAGCTTCTGCTCCTATGTCTCTTACTTGCAATCATTAAAAATTTCTCCATCAGCCCCAAATGCAATATCTAGAGGTGGCTCTAAAGTCTGCATTGCAAAGGCAATGCAACAGATCTCCTGGATGAAGTTACTGAGGAGGCAAAAATCAACTTCCGGAGGGAATGAAATCTTAGGATTGACATTCATGGCTCGAATCACATCCTGAAAAACAGAAAGATGGTATCACCTTGTTACTGACCTGTGACCAGAAACGCTGGCAATCCTAAGGACATTATGACTGATGGACGTGGAAAAAGAAAATGCACAAAAGCAAGTTAAACTAGAGGAGTGCCTGTACCAGAAGGAGGGGGCCCCATTGATAGAGAAGGAGGGAAGACGGTACAAATGACACACTAAAAATTAGGAGAGTCTCAAAAGAAAACTAAGGAACCAACCCTTTGTAGCTTTTATTTATTTTCCTTTTTTTTTTTAATTCTGAGCAAGTTATATGACATGCCAACACAGAACTCTGACTTGTTCATAATCTAAACAATAACATTTATAATAGCTCGCTTTTATTGAGAGTTTACTATGTGCTGGGTCTTGTGCTAAGTAAATTATCTGCTCTCTTTTATTTAATCCTCTCAAGAACTCTATGGGGTCATGACTTTTGCATTTCCCATTTAAAGATTAGAAAACTAAAGAACAGAGAGGCTAAGTAAATGTGCAGGTCACACGGCTAGTAAGTGGCAGAGCCAGGATGCAAATCCACACCTATCTTTCCCAAAATCTTAAGCACTATGATGTCCTATCTTCCAATCTTAAGGACCCATCTAAGGCAGTAATTTTCAGCCTTTTTCACCTCATGGCACACAAACTAATTACTAAAATTCTGCAGTACACCAAAAATATATATTTTGCAGATCTGACAAAAAATATAGGTATAATTTTGATTCATTCACATTGGACAGCTATTGTTGTGTTGGCTGTTGTCATTTTTTCAATTTGACAAACTAAGAGAAAAGAAGTCAATGCCCCTGACTAAATAGTCAGGTATTTCATGTTTTAAAAATTCTTTCGGCACACCAGTATGTCATGGCACACTGACTGAAAAGAACTGATCTAAAGAATAAAACTATAAAGCTCAGAATATTTTCCCCCATCCACGTCTAAGAAAGAAACAGCCAATATTGACTGGTCTACAAAGTAAATTGAATGCTGCTCATTTCTGCTCTTCCATACATAGAAGAAGCACTGACTAGGTTTCTGAGCTATTGGAAGTCAGTGTAAACATTATTAGCAGCAAACCAGCCCCAATAAGAGACCCAACACTTACGTTGACACTGCTTTGGGAATCATACAGATCAAGATGACAAATGATATAATCCGAGACGGCATCCTCAAAGTCATTCGACCCCACATAAGACGGTGTCAAAGATTTCCTTACACGGATCTTGAAATGTCTGAATGCCATTTTAGCTACATGGAATGCTTCCTGCACATAAAAATTGCAGCAAATTTATTTGGTGAGAGGAGGGGGCAAAGAGGTCCAAAGCAAGGAATGAAAAAATTCATCAAAAAGTCAACATCATATAGGTCTTCTGATGACTAAACACAGTTGGTCAAAACTATCTTTAATCTGGGAGAAAGTATATATCTCAATGTTTAAAAGTGCATAAATACCTACATCACTATCCACATTCACTAATTTTAAGACAGTGGACCATTTTTCTGGTAATACAGAGTGCAGGACAGTACAGAAGTTCAAGGAAAGAAATCATCTGTGGTTACATAAATACTTGAAAAATGCTGCCCTGGCCGGTTTGGCTCAGTGGTTAGAGCGTCGGCCCATGGACGAGTCCCAGGTTCGGTTCCTGCTAAGGGCACGTACCTCGATTGCAGTTTGTCCCTGGCCCCTGTTGGGGTTGTGTGGGAGGCAACCAGTCAATGTGTCTCTCTCACATTGATGTCTTCCTCTCTCTCTCTTCCCCCCTCTCTCCCTCCCACTCTATCTGAAAATAAGTGCAAAAATGTCCTCGGTGAGGATAAAAAAAAAGAAAAGAAAAATGCTAGCTGATGCTATGCTCCCACAGTAGCACCATATTACTGGTCAAGAAATAAAAGAAAATTATCAATTTAGTATTTGTTATACATAGACACATATCAAGTGCTGGCCATGTTTCCTGGCATATATTAATTCAACAACTATGTATTAAATGCCTGTTACATAGTCAGCACTGGGAACACTTAGATAATCATGAAAGACATGGCCTCCTATTCACGAACTTTACCCAACTCAGTAAGCAATTCTCAAACCAAGGACTGGGGACTGGCAAATGTTTTTCTGTAAAGAGCCAGATAGTACATGTTTTAGGCTTTACTGGTCACATACTGTCTTTGTCACATTTTTTTTACAACCTTTTAAAAATGTAAAACTATTCTTATAAAGTTAGCTCTCGGGTGGTATATTTCTTAGAATACAGGTCACAGCCAGATATAGCCCACAGGTCCGAGTTTGTTAACTCCTGGCATAAATTAATAAGTATATGATAAAATTCAGTAGATTCTGATCATTCCGCTTTCATACCAATGTCCTGTTGTATTTAATATTTAACTGTTCTCATAATGGACTCTGTATCTCAATACAGTACCAAAGGAACAGACCCATTTTGGGGAATTAAGGACTATATATGAACACTTTTTAATCTGTCATATTCAAGTAGCTGATATGTTAGCAGTTTTGGTAACTACTCTTCTAATTTTTCTAAGAATGGAAGGAAATCAAATGATAGCCGTTAGCAATAATATATCCACTGGTGTATCTATTCCCATTTAGAAGATTCCATGCAAATCAACTAAGTTACATACCCATTACAGATTGTCCTACAGTGACAAATACTTCAACAAATGTCTGGTCAATATCAATATTAATACATACGAATAGTTACTGATTGTGAAAAATGATTCCTTGCAAATACTTGCAATGGAGGGAGGGAGGGAGGGAGGGAGGAAGGAAGAGAAATCCCACCCTCTTGCAGGATCTACCAGTCCTTTTAAGCTGCACTGTTCAGTTTACCGAACTGCTGTCCCCCGCTGTGCCCAAGGAGCTCTGGAGCGCAGCGGAGTGTCACATACCACTGTGGCGATGTAGATGATCCGCTGCACGGACTCGGCGTTGTCCATGCATTGCCGCAGCAAGCACTGCGCATCCAGGCGGGCCTGGGAATAGGCATCGCCGAACCGGGACAGGAGGGCAGCCTTGCGTGCCGCGCTGGACAATTTGGCGCGGTTCGGGGACGGCGTCCTGATCTTCACCATTGCGTTGGAGGGGCTGCCTGACCGGCTGCGGCTGCGGCTGCGGCTGCGGCTGCGGCTGCGGCTGCGACTGCGACTGCCATTGCGGCTGCCATTGCGGCTGCCACTGCGGCTGACATTGCGGCTCTGGGTGCGGGTGCGGCTGCGGCTGCGGCTGGGGCTGCGAGGGGCAGGGCTAGGAGACTGGCTCCTGGTGGACCTGTTGGTGAGCAAGAATCAGCAGGGAAGCACTCTGAATCACTCATCTGTCCTTGTCGGCCTCTGCTTCTCCCCACACCAACTGCAAATGATACTCGGGAGCCATGGGCGCAAGGCCGACAGCAGCTGCCTCCACGAACTTCCCCACTAGGCCTGCCAGAGGCACTGTCTCCCTCAGATGTGACCACAACCATGAAACAAGGCTATCTGCCCGGTGAATTAGAGTTGATACAGCACTCACTCACTGAGCACCTCAGTCTATCCTTCGAGCAGCCCTGTGACCGCAGCATTGATTGTGGGCCATTTTACAGATGAGAAACCCGCAGCTCAGAGAAGTTCACTGGCTATCCTGGAGTAACACAGCTAGTAAGAGCCAGAGTTAAGAACTCAGATTTTCTTTATTTCATCCCCCAACCTTGGTGAGCCTTGTGGTATGAAATGAGATGAACACTGAACAATGAGAAAGATGTGTTGTATTTCCGGCGCCACCACCTTACTGCAGCAGGAGTGACTGAAATAACTTCTCCTCTCCAGAGCCCATTTTTCACCTACATCATTTTTGTTCTATTTCAGGGTGGAGTGCGAATGGAAGATCAAGTGATCTAATACATGTGGAAGTCCTTGGCGAATTGGAAAGCACCGTATCAGTAAAACCTTTATAGTTACCAAGTACAATGGAAATTATCAGACTAGCTAGCCCAAAGGCAATGCCCCCCTCCCTCCTCACCCCCATAAGAAAAGAAATTTTGTAGAAGAAACTATGGGGCAAAAGGGAGTGCAAAGTGAATTCTGAAGGGCGTGGGGAGCCCTCATTAATAGTATTTGTCAATTTCAATGGTGCAACAAATACTCAAACTATGGTCAATCTCAAGCCACTAATGTGACATCGCTAAACTCAAAGTTAGGCAGAAATGCCCAGAATGCTTTCTTAGAGCCAGTACAAGCTAGCAGCAGCACACTGAAGGAGTGATTCCCAAAAATGAAAGACTAAGCTGACATTTAGGGGAATGGGGACCGCACACGGGGGTGGCTTTAATAACTTGATTCAGGGCTTGTTATTGTTCCGCGGGGGTAGGGGGGTAGAAAGAACAAGGAGAATGTAACGACTCCAAAGAGAAACATCCTACCTTGTCTTCACTCAACACTGTCTGAATGACCTGTCTTAACGTCTGTCCATCAATAGAAAGGGTTTTCATAAAAATGCTTACCTACACCTTCATCAAACAAAGCAATGAAAAGGAAACACCCTACAGTAAAATGGCAGTCGGTCATCTCCAGAGAGGGGATCTTAGGCCTTAAGAGAACAGAACCCTCATATCATGGAACGTTCTTCCAATATGGGTAACACCACTTGCCTTACAAGCCCACTCAAATGGTGTCAAGCCAAAGAACTCCCCTTCCTCATACCTCAGGCTCATTCTCTAAGCTTCAGTGTCAGCCCAAAATCAATTAGTGCCCAAGTATTGGCAATCCAGGAGGTGGTTTCTCTCTCTCTGAAGGGTGCAGCTAGAGAAAACACTTTACATTCAGTTTCCCATGTTGTTGTTGGGGTTTGGTTTCAAGGACGTCATTTGGCTTCCCAAGCCAGGCTTTTATCACTACCAAAAAGAACTTAAATGGAAAGATCTGTGAGAATGTGCCAGACCTTCCTTGAAGAGCAGATCTTTCAGCGCACAGAACAGCGATCTCGTCCTTCAGTGTTTGGAGCTGTTTCTCATAATCAGATATCACATCTGAGTCACACCTGTCTGAGCCGATCTTGACGGAGACAAAGCGTTTCTCAGAGTTGCGGTGATCTGATCGCCTGGGCTCCGAGGTCCTGGGCTCCGAGGTCCTGGGCTCCGAGCTTCTAGACTCTGAACTGCGCTGCTCTGTGCTCCTACGCACAGAGTTTCTGTGAACTGAGTTTCTGTGGCGGGACTCCTCCTGGGCTTGAAGAGATTTAAGCCTAAACAGAAAAAATAATAATAATTTTTTTAAGTAAAGAAAGGGAGGGAAGGAGAAAAGGTAAAAAGCAACAACTGGCATACTTAAAACAGAGGCTAGTCTACTTCATATGCCATTATTGCACAGGAAAACTCGAATGGAGATAAAGAGGAACAAACACAAATTAGCAAAGAGGACACTTGCCAGGGTTAGAGGCCCTCCCTGTCTACAGCTTGCACTGGAAAAGGCTCCTAAAGAAAACAAAGGTATGCAGATCCCCTCACAAAAGCAGAGTGGGTCTGTAGTCATATTGTTCTAGATGGGACTGATAGTAAATGCACAAAATTCTAGGAGTATTTGACCTCTTATACCTAGTCCAGAAGCTGGGCAAAGATGTTTCTCTGAAGATGGACTATGGGGAGAAACCACAATGGAAACTGAAAAACATCTACATTCAGTGGAAGTGTGGATCTACAAAAATAATGCATTACAGAAACAAACGAAGCTTCAGAAATAAAATAGGCATCCTCACAAAGATGCATGGCCATCATAAAACAGGAGCAAAAGTCATAAGAAGAGGACAGCTGTGATGAAAATGACCATGATGCAAGATGAAAAGGTAAGGGGTAAGATTGAGAAGGATGTAGAGAAGCTAGAAATGTAACAGCAGAATTAAAAGCTGCGCTAGAAATAGTTAAGAACAGAATCACTGAGTAATGTGATCAATGCATTTAAGAAGGTATATCAAATAGGAATAAGAGATTAAAATGATAGAAGTGGAAAATAGGACGGTGCTCCACGCTAAAATTTAGGGGTATTCCTGAAGAAATCAGAGCAATTGGAACATGTGTGAAGGCAATAGAATTATACTTATATATTTATATCTATGCATTTTAATACAATTTCTACTTGCTCTTTGGGATATCAAAATGAAAATCAAGGAAGGTATACAACCTTAAAGAATCAGTGTTTATTTTCCTCTTCTAGAAATTTATCTTTAGAGAATAATCTGAAATTTAAACTCAGATTTGCCACGACAATCATCACAACGTTACTTCCAATGTTGAAAACTGGTATCAAAGTAAATAGTCCATGTTAGGGAAACACCCAAATGATGGAACATGACACACCTATTCAAAACTAAGTGGTTTTTTATTAGTATTAGAGAAAAACAATGTTAACTGAAAAATGGGCTCCAAAATTGTAAACTTATACTTATTTTGTAGTCTTAACTCTATTTCTAATGTATGAATTGGAAGAAATGTCAAATGGCAACAGTAACTGGTTCTGGAATTATGAAAGGGTTTTTAGTTTATACTACACTGTACTTCGAAAATTCTCTCTAGTAGATAGGTAATATTTTTGTAATAAAAAAAACATATAAAACACTAATAAAAATATTGTTCCCTCTCCTCTTTGATTGTGAACAGAATCTTTCATATTGTAATGGAACACCAAAAAAGTTAAATTCAAAGATTAATCAGCAGGCTGCAATAATCCTGTCATTTTTTTTTTTTTTTTCCTTACTGCTTTCTTAGCTGATTTATTTCCTCCTCTGCAGCCAAAAGGGATATGGCCGATCTGTTCTTGGTTGCTTCAAGAGTCTTTGCAGTTTCAGGCAGACTGTAAGAGAAATCAGTAACTAAAACAGATTTTCCAAAATTGGCAGACTTTCTAAATCAAGGCATAGATTCTCTCTCAGGAACTTTTGGCATATGATATAAATTTGACATAAACAAAATCAAATTATAATACATCTGCATTCAATCAGATGATATTGCAACTATTGTAATGCACTTATATGCGAAAACATGCTAGCATCCTTTCTCAGGGTCAAACACAGAAAAATTATAAAACTACTACCCCCTAAAAACTATGTAATAATTATTAATATCAAAATGTAAAGGAAAAAGAAACTCATTCATTTCTCCTTCTCAGCCTCCTAATTCATCTGCTCTAATTACATCAAGTCCCCAGGTTGCCTCGCTCTATAAAATCTTCATTTATCTGCAATATACTACTACTATTCTGATTACTTTGCACAGTAAAGTTGAATTTGACTTAATTTTCCCAGACTTCCTAAATATAAAATAAATTACTTGCTCATTATAAAGTCCTCCACAATTACACTTGACTACCAACTATTTCGTGTCTTCCTGCCTCTGACTTCCATCACTTATTAAAGCCGAGTTTCCTGAGTTTTCTGCATAGGTGTTAGTTTTAATGACTTTACCAGTGTGGGCAAATCATAGTGAAGGATACTATTTCTTTAAGTCTGTCTAAACTTAAAAGGAAAAGGGAATGTGCTGGATGACAGTGGATGAAGACCAATGGTTCTCAATTAAGCTGTGCTAGTGTAGTGAGAGATCATAGGTTGGCAAAGGTTTCTTGACTTAGCTGACCCTACTTCCCTGGAACAGCAGGCTCTTTCATCAATGTAGTCCTAAGGCTAAGCAAGAGCAACTGCTATGTAAACTCACACCAGTGTCCACATCCTTCCAGAGCCACTCTACATCCCCTTGACTCTCAAGCAAGGTCATCTACCCTTCGCCTGAGCTCCTCCAACACTCAGCTCACACTTACATCTCATTACAAACACACTGTGAACTAACTGAGGGCAAATATTTTATTTTATTCAACTCTTTATCCCCAGCACCTAAAACGATGCTGGTCACATAGTAGATTTTTAAAAAACTGAAAATGAATGAAAGAAATGTCTAAAGTCTAAAACAAAGCCATAGTAGCAATAACTTCACAATAGGCTTACTGGAGGTTGAAAGGGAATTGTTGTAATCTAATTCAAATGTGAATATGGAAGATGTCAGCGTAGGTAAACGCGGTATCGCGTCCTCCCACAACCACATCAAAGTTACAACTAAACTACAGAACAACCATCATTCAAAACTGCCTGAAATCAAGCTGAATGGAAGTCCTACAACTATGGAATTAAAGCAGCAGCCACATCCAGACTGGTAGGAGGGGCGGAGGCGGAAAGGCTGGTCCCACACCCACGTGTGGCGGATAAAAATAAGGAGGACACCTCGGCTGGGAAGGTCCTTCCTGAGGACTGAGGGGTCCCCGTCCCACACCAGGTGCCCCACTCAGTGTTCCAGTGCCAGGAAGAGAATCCCCATAACTTCTAGCTGGAAAAACCAGTGGAAACTGAGGCTCAGGGAAGCTGAAGTGGCTGGAGCCCCAGGCAGCTCCTTAAAGGGCCCACACACGGACTTATCGGACTCTCTCCCTCTAAGCTTGGAGGGGAGGCAGCTCGAGGGGCGCCAGAGACACACAAGGAAGAACTGAGTTGTTTGGCACTGGAGCGAGGGCTAGAGAGGGGGCTTTCTCCTGGACAAACGTGCTGTCAGAAGCCTTTGTTCCTTTGGTGAGCCCTTCCCGGGGGCGGCAGACAGTGACCATATCTGGGACTCCAGCAACCTGGCTCACACTGGTAGCCCCGCCCTGCTGACTCCCTGAGGCCCCGCCCCACCCCACCCAACTTTGAGGCCCAACCAAGCTGTTGCCATTTGCTTAACCATAGGATTGGCCTGTCTTGGATCCTACTTCAGGTTTTTCCTAAATTCTTTCAAACGAGCAGCATCGGGTCTCAGCGAGCCCCATACCTCTCATTAAGTAATACACTGAAACAAACACAGGGAGGCAGCCAAAATGAGGAGACAAAGACACAGGTCCCAAATGAAAGAACAGAACAAAACCCCAAAAAAAGAACTAAGCGAAATGGAGATAAGCAAACTAACAGATGCTGAGTTCAAAATACTGCTTATAAGGATGCTCAATGAACTTAGTGAGAACCTCAATGAACTTAGGGAGGGCCTCAAGAGCATAAAAAAGGACCAGTTAGAAATCATGAATACACAGTTAGAATTGAGGGAGGCATTAACTGAAATAAAGAATAATTTACACAGCTTCAATAATAGAGCACGTAAATCCAAGGAGCAAACCATCGATTTGGAATATAAGGAAGAAAAAAATGCCCAATCAGAACAGCAAAAAGAAAAAAGAATCCAAAACAATGAGGATAGTGTAAGGAGCCTCTGGGACAACTTCAAGCGTGCCAACATTCGCATCTTGGGGGTGCCAGAAGGAGAAGAGCGAGAACAAGAAATTGAAAACCTGTTTGAAACAATAATGGCAGAAAACTTTCCTAACTTGGTGAAGTCCAGGAAGCACAGAGTCCCAAACAAGATGAACCCCAAGAGGCACACACCAAGACACATCATCATCAAAATGCAAAAGGTTCAAGACAAAAAGAGAATCTTAAAAGCAGCAAGAGAAAGGCAGCTAGTTACCTACAAGGGAGTTCCCATTAGGCTGTCAGCTGATTTCTCAAAAGAAACTTTGCAGGCCAGAAGGGAGTGGCAAGAAATATTCAGAGTGATGAAAACCAAGAACCTACAACCAAGATTACTCTATCCTGCAAAGCTGTCATTTAGAATGGACATATAAAAACTTTCCCAGACAAGAAAAAGTTAAAGGAGTTCATCACCACCAAACTGTTATTATATGAAATGATGAAGGGTCTTTTTGAAGAAAAAGATAAAATATATGAACAAACAAAATGGCAATGAATACATATCTATCGACAATGGAATCTACAAACATAATGAACAGGTAGAACAGAAACTTTCTCATAGATACAGAGAACATTTTATTGGTTGCCAGTTGGGAGGGGGGTTGGGGGAATGGGTGAAAAAGGTGAAGAGATTAAGAAGTACGAATTCATTACTAGACTGACAAACCTCAATGGGAAGGGAATTGAGAGGAGGGGGATAAACCAAAGAACTTATATGCATAACCAATGGACACAGACAATAGTGTGGGAAAAGGTGGGAGGGGAGCGCGAGTGGGGAGGAGGTCAATGGGGGAAAAATGTGAAACATCTGTAATACATTTTACATTCAACAATAAATTTTTTTTTTAAATGTGAATATGTTATAGCATTGTAAAAGTATATATGGGAAAGTGAACATTTTTATCAAGAGAAAATTGTAGAAAATTAAAAGAACAAAATAGACGAAGAAATGAAAGAGTATAAACAGGAATAAAGTAGATTTTCTCTCAAAACATGGCATACACATGTGAGCACATATACATATAAGAAAACATACATGCTAATTTGGTACCCTTAGATGTCAGAGAGAAGAAAGGGAGATACATTCATGTGCCAAGAATTGTTCTAAGCAGATGAACATTTATTTAAGTTTTTTGTTGTGGATTTATTCATTCATTGAGCAAATTATTGAGAATTTACTATGCACCAAGCATGAGGCTGGGTGCTGAAGGTACAACCATGTCAAAACATTAATATGAGACAGCAACCCTCTGGAGTTTCCAGTCCACTGGATCACAAATATGCAACCAAATGTTTAAAGGTTCCAAGTTGTGGAAAGTGCTAGTCTTAGATCATTGTGAAAGAGAATTTAAGGAGGAGAAAAGAAAAGATCTTTGATGTATACTGGTCACAAACAGACTCTGAGAAAGTCGCATTCAGCTGACCTTGAAGGATATTTAAGAGGCAGCTATGCAGAGAGCCAGCAGAAGACCTGCCCTTTTCTGGAGGAGCAGAGGCAACGGCCTCACGGTGAGGAAGAAAGACAGCAGACCAAGGGCGGGGAGCCTGGCATGGGAGGACAGTGACGCGAGAGGTGGGTTCCGATTATGGGAAGGCTACTCACAGCTTTTAAGCAGGGCAATGACTTAATACAGTAAAAAATATACCTATATTTTCTATGTGAGCAATGATCTGTAGTAGAGCAGGAATAGAAACAGAGACACCAGTTGGATGGCAATGAGTTGAGGTGAGGGGTATCAGAAGCTTGAACTGGGGCAATGGTAGTACAATAGAAAGAAAGGGACAAGTGTGGGGGTGCTTGGGAGGCAGATTCAATTGGATATTCCAATAGACTGGATACAGGAAATGCGGGAAAGTGAGACTCCTATCCAGAGGCCAGGCATAATTGTGAGCAGTCTTCCCTAGTCTAGAGTGGGTCAAACCTGGGCAGACCTGTCTCCATTCAGCACCGTATTGGAATTGGCACCTTTGGAACTGAGTCACAACCAAACTGGTCTCCACAAGGTTAGACCAGTGGGTGGGTCACTCATCCCACAGCAGGTAGCACCCTGGCTTTAGAGGGAGGTAGTTGGAGTAAGAGGGGCAGGAGAGAGCTGAATACCACAGAAGGCGGGGTATGGCCTCCATCATTTATACCTTAAATAAAAAAAGAATATTACCACTGGTGAGATCATAACAAAAACAAAACAAAAGACTAGGAAATTCCGAGAAAAGCAGCAAGCACATTCCTGTGTGCAAATTTCAAATGGACGGTGGGGTTGGAGGATGTCTATAGATAAAAGAGAACACACACAAATGATCAAGCAGATGGGGTAAAAGGTTTATGAAGGAATATAATGGGTGTTCTTAGTACTATTCCTGCAAATTTTCTGTATTTGAAATTACTTCCAAATAAAAAGTTTAAAAATGCATGTGGTTATACTTTCTCAGTCCAGGGTGCCCTATAGCTAACTACAGAGCCATAGTGACAAGAGAAGGAGGTAGGAATTCCTGGCTCCTATTGGTACTGATAAAAGAGAGAACCAGCAATATGTCGAAGCAACGAGAGGCAAATGGAGAGAACTGGTCATCAGCAGCAGTGGCTAGTAAATTCCCCAGGAGACCTAACCAGACAAGCCACAACTCAGCATCCCTCGGCACGAGACATTAGTGCCAGGGGGATCTGAGGCCAACAAGAACCCAGCAGGAAGTACAAGACCGAAGTCCATCTCCTCCAGCACAAGGAGAGCATGCAATCATCCCTCCACCCCTGGATGCCACTGTAAGGAAGGAGGGGTCAATGAGACCCCTTGAGAGAGCAAACACAGCCCCTAATGAGAGTCTAGACTTGGAATTAACTGAATATTTACACAAAAGGAACTAAAATAAACCAGAAAGGAAATGGCAGATGTAAGGATCCTCCTCACCCCCCTCCAAATCAGCTGATATCAGTTGAAATACATTGGAGAAATTATGCTTTTTGTACCTTACATTTGTAAACTTTGACTGTTGCCACTATAAAACTGCTCATTGATGATGGTTCCAATTAAAAAATGAATGGGGGTGTGGGGAGGTGCATAAAAACACACACAAAGAAAAAGGTCTGGAGTAAAATATACCAAAATATTAACAGAGATGAGATAACAGGTGATTTTCATCTTGATACTCTTATCTGTTGTATGCATTTTGAGAAAGAAATTTATCTTTTCTAATCAGGCAAAACTAAATCAGTAGAGATGTTTTCCTTAGAGCAAAAGCTCATCAGAGAACAAGGCAGAATGCCACACCCTATTCCATCACAAGCCTGAACTAGTTAAAAAAAGAATCCCTTGCTGTCCCATACATGTCAGCAATGGATCAATGCTGTGGAAGGAGAAACGCTTTATTGATTGATGGGTTTTGTTATGTGTGTTGAACGCAGTTGCATACACGTGTCTATCTTGCTCAACCACGACCCAAATTTCGTAATTTTCTTTGCAGTGCTCCCTTGAGCTTGCTACCCTGGTTTTGTATATAGCCTGCATCCGATAACCGTTGCTGCCTGGCACGGCTTGACATTTTAAAATACATTTTTATATCTAATAGTTACTCCAGAATCTCAAACTGTTCATCATTTAAAGAGTCTGATCTCTCAGTCTCATCCACGAAATGAGTACAACTGACAAATAAATGCAGCCGGCTTCATGCTTTTGCTCTGTTTCTCTTAATTTTTCTATTTACCCTCCTTAGCCCTTTTCCTCTGCATCTTTTCTTATTTTCCTCCTTAATAATAGATTTTCATGAAACAATCTTCCTCTGTTTATAAATATGGGCTACTAATGGGTCCATCGGAGCCAAGGGGACCAGTGTCTTAGGGATCATAACATATTATGGAAATCCTGGCCCCAAATTCAAAGACACTGACTCCCAACTCTCTCTCTCTCTCTCTCTCTCTCTCTCTCTCTCTCTCTCTCTCTTTCTCTCTCTCTCTCGCGCACACACACACACACACACACACACACACACAAAACCACATTACTTATTAGTAAATGTCTACATTTTACATAACTCTCCTTTCGAACTTAAACATTAAGTGAAGAACAGACAACTCTTTGTGGAAGAAGATAACTTGCATTGCTCTTACTCGTCTTGAACCTGGTTGAGTTGATTGCGAGTTGAATTCAGCTCCGCATCTAATTGCATGTCCCGCATACTAGACTCCTTCTGTCTCTCCTTTTCAAATGTGTCCTGGAAAGATACACACAGCAAAAAATAGTCTGACTACATGAAATAACATAGGCAGATTGCACAAGCAGTATGCTGAGTAAAGGAAGTTGAGCACAAAAGAGCACATAATGTATGGTTCCATTTGTATCAAGTCCTTGTGCAGACTAAATTAATCTGGGATGAACTGCAGAGAGTGGTTGCCCTGCGGGTGGGGACATGCTTGGGAAGTGGCATGGGAATGCTCTGGAGTGGTGGACATGTTTTCTATCTTAATAGGAGTGTGAGTTACATGGATACACACATTTGTCAAAATTTATCCACCTATGGATGTCACTGTAGGTAAATTACACCTCAATTTAAATTAAAAAATACATTTAAATATCATCCTGTATCTCTATACCCAGAATAATATGCATAGGGGGATAAAAAATCTAAGAAGCATATGAAAATCTCCAGAGAAAAAAATTGCTTAAAGACAACTGATATCCATAGAGTACTTTATATGTGTAAGTTGTTTTTCATGCTTATCACATTTAATTCTCACAATGACCCTATTAGGCCAGCAAAAGCATTGTCCCCATTTAGCAAGTGTGGATACTAAGGTATAAAAGTTAGACCCTACCCAAGGACCACAGAAGAGGGACAAGAATTCTGTCCAGTGGTCTCCAAACAGGAATCCTTCAGCCACTACCTCATGAAGCACTGTTGCTTAGAACAGCCTGTTCAACATGCTTTAATTTGAGAAATGAATGCATGGAGATCCATATAAACATTTAAAATCAAAGTCACTAATGTTTTGCTTACCCAGATATAAGAACGCCAATGCCTTAAGCAAGGTATATGTTCTGTTTTCAGTCTGACCTTCAACCATTAAAACGCTGACACTCTCCATGGAAACCACCAAGATCAACCACAAATTATGATACCCCTTATCAATCTAGCAGAAGTGAGCTCTCTTCTTATCTTGGAATTTTCCAATTAATTTCATTTCACTCTTTCAGAATACTGAGCTTTCCTCATCTAATATTCTCTTTCTTTTCTGAGCCCCTGTGGTTCCCTAACTGTCTGGGTGACTAATTTGTCATTTAAAAGTTACTACAGTGATACCTTGGTTCTCGAACATAATTCGTTCCAGGAGGACGGTCGAGAACCGAATTGTTCGAGAACCGAAGCAATGAAACCCAATAGGAAATAATGGAAACTGGATTAATTCGTTCCAAGCCCCAGAAAATGCCTATTTACTGGCCTAATTTGTATATAATATGTAGAAAAACATAAGTCTCAACAAGAAATAAAAGTGTACAGTATGTCTAAGGGTTAAATTCAGTGTAAAGCGTGACTCTCTCCACAAAGCGTGACTCTCTCTCTGCACTCACACTGATGACACAAGCAAGGCGCGCTGGGCTGAATGAACGCCATTCGGCTCAACTCGGCTCATCTCGGAAGTTCGAGTTCCAAATATTTGTTCGGATTCCGAGACAAAAGTTTCTCGAATCTCCTGGTCGAATACCGATTTGGTCGAAAACCGAGGCGTTTTCACCGAGGTATCACTGTATTTAATGCCTAGTGTGGACCAAGCAATGTGCCAGATGTAGATCATCACCAGGCACTTTTCATAGTGAAAAGGTGAGGCTCATTGATTTGCCTGGTCATACCACTAGTAGTCAGTAGGCAGAGCTGAGATTTGAATCCAGGTCTGTCTTAAGAGAAAACTCAATCCAGTATGCCCTATACTATAAACAGAAACTCACCTTTTACATCTGTGCCCCAATTCCCTAAGTAGAGTTGAGCCCCTCTCTAGGTCAAAACCATAGTTTAAGCACATTTGATTCCCAGAGTCTGACCAGGGTGCTGAAAATCAAGGAAAATCCTTCAGCATCTTTACCTGTAGAGAGGGGACCTTGCTGTCAACAGGTTTTCCCAGGGAAGCAGCAGTAAAGGAGGCCTCCAGCCAAGGCAAAAGGCGTGATTTGATGACTTGCACACCATCATAATGTCCTCCTAAACGAATCCACAAATCAGGTCAGTGAAGGAAATCCAACCACACCACCTCAGTCAGAGATGCAAAGAAAAGAAAAAAGGGCTGATGGGAAAGCAGACCATTCTCACCTTCTTGGGCTGTTGTAGTGAGGATTCCAAAGAGTTGTCCCTGCAGCTTGGCAACTTGTTCGATGAATTCAAGGCAAAGACTTAGATTTTGATCACACGAATTTGTCTGCTAAGCCAAAACAGTAGACATCAGTGCAATTCTTTACTCCCACTGCAGGTAGACAAGGCCTCACTTTACCCAGGGCCGCCTGGCTCTGGTGTGCTTCCAGGGGCACTTTCCTCCTGGGCACCCAGCCAGAGCACTTCCCCAGCTTCCCTAGCAGTTTGTGGGGCCATGTAACTGAGTTGGGGCCCATGGGATGGGAAGTGATGTGTGCCACTTTCGGGTGTGACCCAGAAGAAAAAGTTTTGCAGGATTCTCTTCTTTTTCTCTTTCCCATCTACCAGCCAATTGCAGGGGACCCCAAGAGCCTAAGGGGTGATGGAGCCACAAGATTTTGGGAGGCTGCTAATTGAACATTTACAATGACTGTTACATAATCAAGAAAGCGTATTTGTGGGTGTTAAGCCACTGAGGTTTGGAGGTCATTTTAATACCAATGACCCTGATTCCCTACTCAATGGAATCCTGCAAAAGGTCCTTTTATAAAGTGAATAAACCTTTTGTAACAGTACAAATCAATGCTTCCTAACTTACCTGCTTTATTGGTAATTGTCCTCTACTTAAGTTCAGTGTGTACATAAAGAACACTACTTGTTAGCAGTAAAAAGGTATTGCTGGGTTGAGAGTACAATGGGGAATAAGACAGAAAAGATGGGCCAGGCCCCATGGCACTTGCAGACGAGTCGGGGAGACAGGCGAGTAGACAGTTATCCTGCAGTGGAATAATGTCTTACCATAGAGGTGAGCACACAGTCTACTCAAGAGCCTGTTGTCTTGGAAAGTCAGAGAAGACTTCCTTCCAAAAGGAAGTGAAATCTAGGTGAGAGGAAATTAAGCAGACTTGGGGCAAGGGGTGGTTCAAGTGGTTGTGGAACATTCTAAGCAATGAGAGCAGAACATGAAGAAGCCAAGAGGTAGCTATTAGCTATTACCTATTAGCTAATCAGCTAATTAGCTATTACCCAGCTTTTTCCATCTCCTTGATGACCTGCAACTGTTTCCTCATTAGCTAAACCTCTGAGTTTAACACTAAAGGAAGTGACACAACTGTAAGCAACAAACAAATCATATGGCGTAAAGATGCCCAGGGGGATGTGTCATCTCAAGCCATAATAAGGCACTAGCATTGGGCACTATGAATCCCGAGACAGGAATCTACAAGGAGGATAGAAACTAGAATAAATAGGATAAGTTTAGAGGACCTCAAGGCAAAATTGACATGTAAAATGCATTTTGGGGTCAACAAAGGAAGTGGTTCGGACAGGCAGGAAGCTCCCTGTGGACAGGCTGTGCCTGCCCTGCTCATTCACTGCTGTAGTTCCAGCCCTGCATTCTGGAGTCTCTATATATTCCGACACAGTAAGTGTTGGATGGATGAATGAACATGAGATGATTCATTCATTTTGGATTTGTTACATACCTCCTAAGTGCCAGGCACTATTCCTGCTTATACATATAAACTCAGTTAATCCCTACAATAGTACACTATGAGATAGGGCTACCATTATTATCATCCCCAGCTTCAGATGAGAAAACCGAGATGCATAAAGGTAAAATAACTTACCCAAGATTACTTAACTAATAAAATGTCAGAACTGAGATAAGAACCCAAGCTACCTCATTCTAGATGTTATGCTCTTAACCACTAGCCCATACAGACTTTTAGATGGGAATTAGTCCTAGGAGTAGAGGGAGAAGACCAAATAATGTTAACAAAGAGTGAATGGGGAGGGCAGTCAGGGAAGGCCTCTCTGAGGAGGAGACCCTGAGCTAAGTCCTGAATGCAGAGACTAGAGGAGTATGTCAGGCAGTGGGAACAGCAGGGGCAAAGGCCCTGTGGCAGAAAGGAGTTTGACAACCTTGAGAACCAAAAGTAGGTGCACATGGCTTCTGCACAGGCAGTCTGAGGGGTTGACAGAAGAGGTCCTTGCGGGGCCTTGCAGGCCTGGCAAGAAGTTTGGATGGAATGGACTCATCATAACCTAGGGGGAGCTGCTAGTTTACTTTCCATGACTGGTAAATAGTATCTGGTGACAAGTTCTGTTGAGCACTTATTTCTGTTGTAGCCATTTGTTGCTCTGTCTCAACCTCTATCCCTTTCTCCTACGAAGACCATGTGTTTTTAAAAAATGCTTTTACCTTTCTCATATCTGTATCAATTGCCACTAGTATCCATAGCAAATTGAAGGGTCCAACAGTATTTGATGGGCAAATGGATAAATGAATGACTAGCATAATACTGACATGATCGGAACATTTGGAGCACACAATTTACACAGCTCTCTCCATTCCTTCCTTGTTTAACCAGCAGCTTCTTGCCCTTGTTATTTAGCTCCTGCACTTATAACACTGCCCTTCAATTCCCCTTACAGCCTTTTGCCCCCTGGCTAGACCATGCCATTCGCTAAGTGGACACAGAATGGGCATGGAAGTCAGACAACTTGAAGGAGTGTGTATCAGCCTTGCCACTTGTCACAAGTCCTGTGTGACGCTGCACAGGTTACCTCTCTAAGCCCACTTCCTCTCCAGAAAGGAGGATAGGCAATGCCTTGCAGAGTGTTAGGAGAATTAAATCAAAATAATGCATATTCAGCACCTCAGAGACAGAAGGCATTCAACAATTGGCACCTATGAGGTGGCATTCGGTATCGAAAGGAGCAATGGGCTTAGGAATAAGGCAAACCTTGGTTCAAATCTGGTTCTCCACTTATTAGCTACATTCCATTAGAAAAGAAATGTCCAACATGACCCTCCGTTTGTTCGTATTTAGGAGGCAGTGGATCTCATGTGCTAATGTAGGTGCAGAATAGAGGAGATATGTAATCATTAGAAGTAGTATTGTGGTGTTATTACTATATGCTCCTATGCCTTGCCCAGTGCTGGTACAAAGTAGTTCCCAAAGGAATGTCTGCCAAATGTCTGTATGCACAACTTAAATAACAGAAGAGAATATACTGTCAGACAGTTTCTGTTCCCAGGACATGTCCCAACACCCTGTAACGTCTAACACAAAGCATTGCACAGCATATTCAAATTTCAGTGGAGTCTCATTACTAAACACGTACTAACACAGGTAAATAAACTAAAGATATGAACTAATTATACTGTCTCCTAAGTCCAAAGCACAGACTCTCAAAGTTCCTTCATTCTTAAATCACTGAGTTCCTCTTACATGTAAGGACTTGGGCTGGCAACTCAGGACAAAACAGAACACTAAAAAAATAAAAAGTGTTGCCTGCTGTCAACGAGCTCACCAGCAGGGGGAGCAGGATGGAGAATGGGACACATACATGGGTTAAATAATTACCTTGGAATTGATTAAGGGTTCTAGGTGGATAGTGAGCTGTCGAAGGGGCAAAACTTACTGGTGACAGGTGAGGGGGTAAGAGGTTAGGGCATTTCAAGAGGAGGAACAGCAGGTAACAAGGCAAGAAACAACAAGGTCTATTACTGTACAGGGGGTGGAATACAGGGTCCAGGGACCAAATAACCAAGGACTTTGTCACACAGCCCCTGGGCTTCATCCCATCACTGGAAGGTTTAACAGGGCAAGTAAAGAAGCGTGGGGCTGACATGGTCAGATTTGCTTTGTGTTTGACAAAAATCAATCTGGCAGAAGCAGGCCCAATAGAGCTTGGATTAGAGAGCCTGCCTGGCTGAGAGATACTGAGGGCTGTGGAGATGCCAAGGTCCCCTAAAGGTCCTTTCCAGCCCCATATCACATCTGGGTCTACCAAGGTCCCAATGATGCTAGCATCACCTGAGGAGGAAGTCGGGAGGTTTGGAAACAGGTAAGAGGTATAGGGAAGAGGCTGTCTGGGGGACAGATTAGGGGTCTGCAGGACCTTCAGATGAAGATGTCCAGTCATAGGGCCTAACAATTAGTGAGCACCGACTCCATGCCAGCCAGGCACTGTGCTTAGACCCTTAAATGCACTGGTTCACTGAATCCTCGAAACAACCCTACAAATTGGAATCCATCCATCATCCTGAATTCACCAATGAGAAACAAAAAAATCTTAAGAAAATTGGAAGAGGCTGTTTTTGAGCTGGAACATAAACCCATTCCTGCAGACTCTATTACTGGAGCGGAGCTCTCAACCATGATGCTTAACCCAAAACAGTTGGAAAATCAGGCTGGATCTAAGAAGGCGGGTCGGGTTAGAGGTGTGGTGTTAGAAGCCACATGCATAGATGAGGTCACCAGGGAGAGCATACAGTGTGGAGAGGGCGGAGGGCAACGTTGCTAATTCAAACGGGCTAAGAAAAACGGGGCCAGTGCATGAAAAACAAACCAAAGCAGTAAGAAATGAGAGGACAGCCATGAAGAAAGACGAAGAAGAACCAGGAAGGCCAAGAAGGAGATGGTTTATTCTCTGCTTCGCCCGTGCATTTATGTTCTCAACAAATCTTTAGGGATGGGGGTACTGTGTGCTGGCTGCTAGGGACACACTGATGAAGGAGATGGTCTCTTGCCCTCAAAGAATTTATAGTCTAAGATAAGCATGTCAGTAAATGCAAAACCAGGCTCTACTGGCTATGATAAGGGTAGGACCAGATTTCAGTGGTGAGGGTCAAAGGAGGAAGTAAGGAGCTGAGAAGATTCAGGAAAGCCTTCACCTGGGGAACTTTGTGGGCTCCTCCTCCAAGAAATTCTCATTGCTCCAGACTGGGGCCTGGGCACTGAAAATTTTTTAAAACTTTCTAGATGATTTTTCTGTGCAAACAACATTGAGAACCACAGCATTAGTGGGAAATGAGATCAATTTGGTAAGTCTCAATCAGGCCCTGCCCCAAGAAAAACTGAGAGAAAACAGAGTAGATCACAATTACTGAAGATAAGATTTGTGAAACCTTTGCTTCAGCTGTACATGCTGAGGGTGTATGTGTGCTATGTTGTGAAGCGAAATGCATTGACTTCCGTGGGTACATTTTAAAAACTCTGCCCTAGGGCTTTGCCCTGTGTTGAAAAATCACTGGTCTGGGCAATGAGGAGCCACAAA